AATTAGTTTTGTTGCAGGAATGAGAGTTAACACATTTTTTTACGTGCACTGCGTAGTCTCTTCGCCGGAGGTTGGTTCTTGTGTAGATTCACTTCTGGTGCTTTCCGTAGATGAACTTTCGCTAGATTATTATCTATCATTTTGTTGATTTGTTGATTGTTGTTTTTATTCGAAGATGATCTTGAAGGAAAGTGTACCACATGGAAGGGAAAGTCTAACTCATCATTATCAATAAAATCATCATCCTCTACCTCAATGCGAGTGCACGTGCACGTGAGTGCACGTTACTGCAATATTCTCTGCAATGTTGCTTGAAACTGAGCAAGGGACACCTGCCTTTTTGCATCCACATTGCGAACCGCAACCGCTTACTGAGCACGAGCAACTGATAAGATTCATCAGCCTGGGTGATGCTGGGTCCAGAATGTCGTGATTGGTTTCAGTCTTAGGATGTAAGTCATTTTGTAACCATGTTTGCACTTGGAGGTAAACTGAGAAAGAGCAAAAATGGAATTTTGTTTTTGCTGTAGACTGCGAAAACTTTTTGAAGCGAGTTTTAGTGCGAGTATACCATTATTACAATAATTACATGTTTTCAGCTATGTACACATAGCTGAAAAAATGGTTTGTCCGGCAGTTTGAACGACTGTACTAGATGTGAATTCAACATAGAAGTAATCCATAGTAAGTTGTATTTCTTTTCTTCCCTTGTCGTCCTTATCTTCCATGATTTTCATCAGCAACTCGTTGAATTTAAGTTTTCCTTGCATATAGGAGCACATGTCGTATCACAACCACTGATAGCGAAGCTTCGAAGATACAAACTCCTGTGAGAACTGTCTTGTCAGCATCTGGAACAGGGTGGTGGTTACTGCTAGATCAGCGAAAATGTCCTAGATGGACAAGATTCATCTATCAAGCACAGTGGGGTAGTTGAACAGTGGATAGATCGATTCCTTCATTTATTACTTTGTTCTTTCTTGAGTTGGCTTCTGTACTATCATTAATGTGATCGTTATGTAAATCACTAGTCCATATACTCGGTGATTGGTGAAGTGTCCCTTGGTTGAATGTTATTTCTGTTTTCAATTAGCTGATTTTTCAGCTATGTACACATAGCTGAAAAAATGGTTTGTCCGGCAGTTTGAACGACTGTACTAGATGTGAATTCAACATAGAAGTAATCTATAGTAAGTTGTATTTCTTTTCTTTCCTTGTCGTCCTTATCTTCCATGATTTTCATCAGCAACTCGTTGAATTTAAGTTTTCCTTGCATATAGGAGCACATGTCGTATCACAACCACTGAAGGCATGAAGTATGAGCACGTATTTTTTCAAAGGCTTACTTGAATGACTGTGAGGAGTAATTTTATCTGAAGTAATTCGCGAGGCTGTTTTTTTTAAAGTACACAAAGCGACAAGCAAAACTAGCAGGTCAACGTCTTCGCCGATTATAATAACAGAGGTGTACTCAGACGACTTTTGACGGTCGGCATCTTCGAAAGCTTGCGAGTCTCAAAATCCAGCCACTTGAAGTTCATGTTGGATAAAACTGATAAGACGATTCTTGTTGCTGTCGTTCGATAAGAAATTTTCTTGGCCAACTTTGATGAACCCATATGGTCAAACTCAATGAATGAGCGTTGTATTTGGCAGAGCGACGTAATCTTTCAGCTGATTTTGTTCCACCGATATCCGACTCTGGCGGGTATCCATCGAAGATGACAGCAGTTTTTCCATTAGAGTACTACTTTTGGAGATGAGTGACGTATTTCTTACAAATATCTTCAATTGTTATGTCCTTCCATCTCACCTTGAGCAGCAATGGTCTGCGTTTTCTCGGAGAAAGCCACTTAGAAAGATGATTTGGTTCCTTTTCGCATGCCACTCTCATCAAAAAGGGACATGGGATAAGAAAAGAAGCAAGCTCGTACTGTAGAAATTCCTCTAGATCGTCTGGTGTTGGTCCGGAATTTGCTATCCTTTGAAAAATCAACTTTGGATCGATAGCAACAACTATCTATTACCTTCAGTTCGTTGAATAAAGGTTTCAGCTGTCTGTCTCTTTTTAATGTAAAAGTTTTGAAAGTGTAATTCGTGGCGTCGCTCATCAGTTTTATTCCCTCTTCCTCAGCCACGTGACAGTTCTCGGTTTTATCACCTACGATTCCCTTGCTAATCGAAACAAGTTGTCCTATATTTGGAAATGGATTGTGCCTACCCAGCAGTCCAATGTGTGCGGATCGTGGATCAACGTGCTGTTCTGATGCTCTGGACTATGGTCAGACCCACAAATGATTCTAACTGCTCACAAATGTTCATCAAACTATACATGCTCAAGGCCCACTTAGCTGCTTCATTGTCAGTTATGTCTCGCAAGACGCTGTTGTCTGTTCAATGGTTTGATCGGGAGGATTCCACTAAAAAATATGTTGCTTCTGATTGTAAAAAATCCCTGTTTTGTAAATTTTTCAAATTCCGAAGGTGGCATTTTCTTTTTCAACGTAGCTATGTCTTGCAAATAAAGATGAGCAGATTTTGCGTAGTTGTTATGTCCATGTAGAAAGGAGGTACCATTCTCCTAATCGTTGGAACATTCGTATAATTCAATGTTTATATGAAAGTAGCTGTTTCAGGAGGACTTTCTTCCAGTTTGTGTCCGAAAGTTACTTCTTTGCATGATCTACACATCCATGTCTAGAGTTACTTCCTTCCTTTCTTTGGAAGACCCCCTCATCCTTATTTTTTGTATCAAGATGGAGTAGTATAAAGCAAAAAACTTTCTTTCCCAATAATTTTTATTGTTTTATAATTTCATGATTTGTACTTATTTGGAAAGTTGAGTAACATGACTAAGTAGATGTTGTACACCATAAGATGTCAAATTGATGAGTTTTATCAATGAATAAATAAAATATAAACATTTAATATGAATAAATTTTCAATGGTTCAGAGTAAAAGTTCCTAGAAATAAGACATGTAATTCTAATAATAATATTCAATATTTGATACTTTGAGAGGTATTTAGGTAGAATATGTTTTAGGAAATTAATTTTTCCAGGGCATAGTTCTATGTGGTGGTTTACATATAATTGTTGAAAAACATGAGTGCAATCAGGTGTTAATCAGGTGGAACCATGGAGTATACACATCGGGCAAGAAATATTAATGAGATGTAGAACGTGGGGTTAAACCAAAGCTTGGGATATAACCAACCAGAACAGGAACCGTCACGATTCCCTGGGTGAAAATTGTGGTACAACAACCGTATAAATGTTTTTTTAGAAAATAATTGTTCTATACTGTCGCTAGCAAAAGAACGATGAAAAAAAAATTTGGAAAACTCACCTTCCGTGAGTAAAGAAGGCGTTGCGTTGGTACAATTCGAACGCCAAATTGTCGAAAAATGTCCAATATAGGCTTCTATCTAAAGCCAGGACGTTGAGGTTGGGTAGAACGGAATATCCACTAATGATCACTTAACAAAGGATTCGTCAGCCGAACAAAAACACCTGTAGCTTTCGCGAATTCTACCTTTTCGGAAGATAGGGTACTAGGTTTCGATATATCAATTGCATGTTCAATACATACCGACCAATCTGAACAGATTAAAGTAATGGTATGTTTGGTTGTATCTAGACACCCCCAAAAGGTACACTGACGAAAAATGAAACAGCTGAAATGTCCTCAAACAGCTGACAGTTAAAATTTCAATTCGAAGACACTCTTTGTGTTCCTTATCAATAACCAAAACACAGACATACATATGATTCACACACGAAAATTCCATTAGAAGACATACATATGATTCACACACGAAAATTCCATTAGAGACATCAGACGCCGAGTAGAATATTTTCTTTGAAGTAATTATTTACCTACTTTTAATCATTTTCAGATCAACACTTGTACTCAGTAAAACAAATCACACCTTCCACAGTAAGCAGAAATACAAGCTGTACCTCTGAAAAACAAACAGGACTATAACGTATGCAGTTTCAGAGAGAACAAGTTGAAATCAGAAAAGTTATGAATTTCTGATGGTGAATCAAGAACTTATAATTGGAAAATTATACAAGGAATACACTACAAGGAATTGTAGTGACAACTTGTAAAATGTGATTTATCATTAAAAGTGGTTTTTGAATAGAGAGCAAATAGGATTTTCATAAGGTTTCTATGAATGAGGTTAGACAACCAACTTTACATGTTCACTGATGGTAGGGTCACCACAAAGTGAACTGTATGTTGCTTAAAGCTTTTTTTCAAATAACAAAATAGAAAAGCGAAAATTTACATGCTACACAGCAATGGCTTTCACAAAATATTATTTACTACTTATCCTGCTTTTTATCTATAAAGACCTGTTTGACACATCTCACTATATTTCATCTAACTTGTCAACCTGATGTTTAACCCACTACCGATATAACAAAAAAAAATAAGATAGTTTGAGCAAACCGAGTTGACTTACCTTATAGACAATATTTGACTTCCCTTCAAGACAATAACTCAACTCGGAAACTTCAAATAAAATTCGCTGAACCCTCCCTATGTGGACTTCACTAACAACAAAATCATTACACCATCAAACAAGAAGGTAAAATAATCTATTTATATCACCCAGTACCTCGTTTTTTTATTTTTCCTACGCAATTATCATATTTCTAAAACAATCCAATATCAAAACAAAATCTAGTTCCCAGTAACCTCACTATTTTCCACTTAAGTAGAACAATGAAAAAACAATTCAATATGTGGAGCTGAAGCTCCACCCTGTATTTTTCTTCTATTCAAATGATATGATAATGGTATGATAATAATAATGAATGAAAAATCGGATTCAAAAAAAACATGACGTAAATCGCTCACTCCTTTCAACAACGTCATATCTCAAAACACGTGATTTTTCAGGAGAGTGAATTTAAAGTTCAAATGTAGAATAAAATGTATTCAAAATAAAAATCAGGCCTACGATTGAGGTTTTTACTTTCACTTTTATCTCTTTAAATTTGACTGGTGGCTTTTGTGTATTTTTTAAGATACGCAGAGGTCCGATATCCGAGGCTAGAAGTTTCAAATCGAAGAAGTCTTCATAGGAAAGTTCGTTAACAGAAAATTGTTCACCCGTTCTTTTTACTGTTCTGATCAGTGAAACGAGACCTTCTGGCGTATAAATTGGACCACTTTTAAGAGCTTGTTTCATTTTTCTTTCAATCAAAGAGTGAACGGAATCTCCTTCATTTGGGTATGGCCTTTGATTAGAAATTTATGAGTGATGGAGTTAAGGCCGTATTTACGACGAGCAAAGGTATATGCAGCTAACATGAATTGATTCTTCTGCTGTCCGCTACAATTATCGGAATAGAAAGTAATATCCTTGTATGTTCCAATATGTTTCTCAATATATTTCAAAATACATGATCCAAGTTCATTCGATCCACGGTGGCGGTTAGATTCATCCCAAACATAACATTCGGTATTTTTTTTTTTCAAATCGGTAATTGTAAAATTTAGGACATTCAATTTAGATGAATAGTAAAAAGCTGAGCAGTCGCCCTTTGGCAATGGAATAACTACTTGTAAATCGTATACTGCTAATAAGGCGTTATCCGCTAGCGTTTGTTTATCATTCTACTTCTCTTTTCTTGAGAGCTCTTTTTCAACCAAATGCTGATCATAACTTGCCTTCAAGTTCTGTTTATCTGTCTCTGAGGCATTCTTAACCAACACATGTTTCGCACTGATCTTTTCTAGGCTGGAAATAACTTAAATTGAAGTCATTAGTGAAAATGTTATAGAAGTAATTGAAATTACTGAAGGTAACATTATCTCTTTTGCAGTCGTTCACGTAATCATTGTAAATAAGTTATGGTTTTGCTCCCTTCAATGTAGTGTTTCGTAGTATTTTTGCAGGTATAATGTCTCAATTTTGGGAATTCTGTTGATATGATCTATAATTCTATTCCTGACAGCTTCGTTCATCTTGAGCTGATTGCCGTGCTTTCCTCTTTTATCTTCGGCCATCACGGCACCAGCCAGTTTATCTTTCTTCTCAAACACAGTGCGAATAGGGCGGTCATTGATATCTAGGTATTTCTGAAAAATAACTTAACACGAATGCGTCTGTCGCCAAGATTGAAAAAGAACGCAGCATTATGATTTCTTCGTGGCCTCTGCCCAGCTTCGCGCACGTAACGATATTTTGGTTTGATTTCTGTTGTACAGTTATGAATGAACTCCCTCTGCTTGGCAATATCTCCCAGGTTTCAATATGCATCAAAAACACTCTTTCTCTCATCTTCAGTTATTTTTTCAGAGCACTTTAATCGGCATTTATCTTTACATGGAGGTTCAATTTCTCTTGCCTTTTTCACACGTTTTTCAGGTTTTTTTGAATGACTTTCGTACGTTTTCCCATAATTTCTAGCTGCTTTCAAAATGTTTCTCTTCCAGCTGGATTCATTTCTTCTTCGTTTGCCTTTTTTAACTGGGCTCAGAATACCAATGGTAGAAGCAAAGGAGATTTCGGCACTACTGGTACTACTGATACCAGGGGTACTAGCACCAGATTGTAGGGGAAAATTTGGACCAGCATTGCTGTTTGAGACAGGGGTACTTGAAAGTGAATCACGAGTTTGGCTTACATTGCTGGATGGTGGTGCTGAATGCGTGGCATCTGGAGTACTGACAGTCACAGCAACACCAACTTCACAAGTATTACTGCTTGAAAGTGTTTGGGTCATGAGAACACGATGGTCAATATTTTTCTGGAGTTCATCTTCACTGCTCTCTTCGTCAGATGAAGGGTTCCAGTCTTTGTCTGCATAAGAATCATCAAAAACTTCAGACTCGCTTTTATTCCTTGAATCACTGCTGCTACTGCTTGAGTTCGATGAAGAGGATGAGGAGCTTGATTTGTCAGACTTGGATCCAGAACGTTGAAATCCTGCAGTAAACAGAAAAACAAATACACGATGAGATTGGAACTTTTGGTGTAAAAGTTGAAAACTTTTTTCAGAGATCAATTACAGAACAAAATGTCTGAAGTATTTTTTCATATGGTATATTTGTATTTTATAGATTTTTCTACCAATTCGTTTTGAAGATTGACTATTTCAGTATTTCCAACAAATGTTACAATTTCTCACCTATAATTTCAGGAGTTTTTCCATCAGTGGCTTGGTTCTCCGTATCACATACATCCAATATACTCGTATCGACTTTTTCCTCGGTAGTTGACCTTGCATTAATGTTCTTGCTAGCTTTGTTCGACCGTTCTTCAGATGAATTGCAATAAAGGAAAATACAATACCAGGTATGGAATTGGATACGTCAGGAACTTGACAAGCAGGTTGGAATACAATCATTTTTGTTTGTCCTCATACTCTATTCATGTTGCTCCTGTTTTTCACTGAAAAACGTACCCGCTTTTGAGGATTCTACAACATTAGTTGAGTCATTCTTCGCAACTAAAAATGTTTCCCCCTTATCGGTTTTTTGCTTGATTGCTGCTGGCTGAAGAGTATCATCAACTGAGGTATCAGTGAAAACAAGTTTCCTTTAAACTTCGGATTCTCCTGAAATGAATTCTAAAATATACTAAATACAATGAGGAGGAAACCCGTGTATGATATCAATGAACCAAAAGAGTTCAAGAAAAAATTGAGTGTAATTTATTGTACATTCAGTATTGGTACCGTACAATTTCCCTACCTCCTCTGTCGGATGAATTCTTACATAAACCATTTTGGGACTCTTTATCGGTATTTAATGCTAACTCTATCAGCATTTTTCCTCGAGAAATCATTATGATTAATCTGGAAAAAAAAAGTTGATAACCTTTTGAAGAAGTGACAAAAAAGCATACTGCAACCTGTGACAATAATGACACATTCCAATATGAAACTGTACATTTTCCCAATAAAGGCCGACTATTCTTTGCAAGCGTATCATGAAACAAATTGATACAAAACCACTTTGTCTGAGAAAAAAAAATTATTGGCAATAATGTCATAAGCAAAAATAGTACAATCGACGTCTCTTACTTACTGTACAAGAACGTCATAAAACAAAGTAAACCATAAAAGGATATCATCTCCAGTTTCCCCTACAATACTGACATTGAACCAAATAGTACTTTCTTGATACAAAGTTGAGAATGAAAAATGATCTTACCTTGTGTGCAATACCGTTTTGTAAAGAAATAATACACTGTTGCACTAAACGAAACAGATGTTTTCATCACAATGGCTCACCACAACTAACTTGTGACACTCTTGGAAAAAACACACATAACATATATTATAATGCAGAAACGTCACTTTCTGTCTCTAGCGGTTGAATATTGAGTTAATGATATGACGGTCTTGCATGGATATACTTCTTTTTCAGGGCAATTTGAAAACAGATATAACTTAAAATCGTAGATTTTTGATATATGACGTTGTTGAAAGGAGTGAGCGAAATGTGTACTGGGTGTCTCAAAATACGTCATTTAAAAAACATGACAGTTTAACAAGGCTCTATGGTTTTGGTGTGTGATTCTTCAATGTATAGAGGGTGTCTCATTTAGGGAAAAAACATGCCAGGTGGGGGTGGCCTGACGTTTTAGCGTGCGATCCCAATGGGAAACATTTGAAAATGTGGCAATGTGGGGTATTCAGCAAAGACATTTCAAAATACGAATCTGCAAAGTGAATCAATGTTGGTAGTTCTTTGGCAATCTATGCCAAACATCCAATAATTCCCAAGGTTCAGCATTCTCAATCAAATAGTCAATCGATAGGGTTTTCAATTCAACATCGGTCAAATCCCGTATTCCTCTAACCATTTTTTTAGACATTATGGTAGAAAGTGAAGGCACTGATGTCCGCAATTACTTTGGTCAAAATTTTGATACCGATCATTGTTATATGTAATCGTTATACCCCTTCCAAAATATCGCACCAATTCCATCGGAGGTTTGAGATTGAACTATCAAAATATTGTACGGCATTGCCGTTTTAAATGTAAGCTACCCAATGAGTGCCTTTATTCAATCGAGAATCCAAGTTCAATACAGCACATTTTCGAAAAGTATAAGAAAAAAGTATTCAGCTCTGAAATTGGGAAAGTCTGAAGAGGATGAGTCGTTGCAAAAGTTTTTTCAACCTATATCGAAACCTCTGAAAGATATAGCTGAAATCTCTAAAAAATCGGTAATAAACCATTTGAGACAACGTTGTGGTGTCAGCAAGAAGGAAGAGAAAGATGAAATGAAGAAGGAGCCGTTCGATCAATCTCAAACATTTGAAGAAACACTTGAAGATGTTGCTGAAACGGGAAAGGATTATGATTGAGGTATTCCACGAGTCACCTTCACCACCACCACCGCCTTCACCACCACCTCCACCACCATCAATGGAAAATATTTCAGAGGAGAGTATGATGGAGTACCTGGAGCAATATCTGCCCATATCACACAAATATGTTATGCAACATCTGGCTAAAGACGATTCGATTGATAAAATATACGGCCCAGTTTATGACGAGTCCTCTTCAAAATGGATCCTCGGTAGAGGAAGTCAATACTTTGATAGACGTGGAACTATCACAACTGAAGGACTCTCTTTCAAATGAACTCCAGGACTATATAATTTAATTTTCCTCGTGAACTATGATAAAGAGGATCGAGCCTCTTATAAACGTCTTTTAGAGGTAACGCAAGCCCACCTGAATGCCAGAGGATCCATGAAGGGAACTCAAAAATGGAAATGGTCCGATGTAATTAGACCCATGTTCTGTACTCAAACACTTGGTAAGGGTTACAATAATCTAGCGAGCAATGAAGAAGTTGGTCAAATATTGCACTCGACACGCATCGTTGGATATATAATGAGAAGCCCTTCGAGTATGTGTATTAGGATGATCCGAACGAGTTATGCGATAGCTTCGAAAGAAGCTGGAAAATCTTCTCACTACATTTCTTCTAGAAAACCATATGATTTACATTGTAAATGTGTCATGGATAATGATGCAGAAATGACATGAGAATCGCTTCAAAAAAATGTCAAAAATATAGCGCGATAAAACGTACATTTTTTATGCCGCGATTATCGCATGAAATATTTCGCAAAATTTCAATGCGGTCATTTGAGTTGCGAAAACCAAATTAAAAAACACATATTACTACAGTCATATCTGTGTATGTCGCATTTTCATTATGACTATCGACAAGTTTGGGTTTAGCTCGAATAGGAAACGAAAGCATCCTACAACACCAACAGTATTCAGTGGCTTGCTATGTAGCAGGTGTATGTACACCTGACGGTGACATTGATTTCGATAATTTGAAATTGTGTAATGTGAAAAGACCTACGAAC